CTGCCCCTCTAAAGGGGTAACTGGGTTTTCTAAGCTTATGGTTGCTGTGAACATGAGCTCTTGTCTCCATCAGTCAGATTGTTTGCTCTGTCGTTTGACTGTCACTCATGAATTCACAGGGCAGCAGCTCTGCTCCGCTTAAGCGCATCCGGAGGAGCACAGGGATTCCCCGCAGCTTCCTGTTGGAGGTGGACGACCCAAACCGAAAGGGAGTCATGATGGACGGCAGCGGCAAATACGTCATTCCCATCATAGACGCGTGAGTAAACTGTACTTGGCATTGCAGCATGTTCTATTGTTTGTGAAAATCTCACATTATGTCTGCTTGTGTGTGTTTGCGCTCGATCTGTTCAGTGAGGCCTATGCTGCTGAGAAGAAAAAGAGACCTTCCTTCTGCCAGACCAAGCCGCTGTCCTCCTCTTCCTCAGCTGGTGCAGCATCTTCAGTCCAGGACGCCAGAGGGAAACGTTCCCGCTCCCCATCTCCACCAGAGACGCACGGAGACCAGAAGAGACCACGTCACTGAGAGACCTTCACCCAAGAGACCTGGAGCCGACGTGAGCACAGTGTATATATTGTACATAGTTTATGAATAAAACTGAATAAAGATTATAGCAGCATAAACTGTGGACTGGTTGACCTTCACACAATACAGAAACACAAAAGAAAATGATCAACACATTAAGATAGAAATGATGAACAAACATGCTGCGGGAGAACCAGTGTGCTGTCCTGCTCACAATCTAAAACTTTTTGTTTAAGTTTATTTAATGTTAATCAGAAAAAAATAAAACGCTGAACAGCTTTTATAGTATTCAATAGTTTTCCTCATAAAGGGGAAAAGTTCAAGAAACATGGAAGAAAAGGCGGCATGTACATATTTTTAAAAATCCATTGGAATGACAAAGATGTGCATGCTCTAATAAGTCATTTTGGCTGTGTTCATATGGTGTCCTTTGGTGGTTTCTATTGCTGTTGTTGTTTACTGTTCAGCTGACTTAAGCAAATAGATTTCTTTAAAATGTAGCTATTAAGGGAAAAAATAATGTATCTTTATATATATATATATATATACACATGGCCTCACTGTAGGAAGGCTGCTGGTGGGAGTCCCGACTGGGCCAGATGGCATTTCTGTGTGGAGTTTGCTTGTTCTCTCCGTGTTCATGTGGGTTTCCTCTGGGTGCTCCAAACCCATGTGCTATGCTGTAGGTGAATGAATAAACTAAATTAGCCATAGTGTGTGTGTGTGTGTGTGTGTGTGTGTGTGTGTGTGTGTGGATATTTCCCAGTACTGGGTTGCAGCTGGAAGGGTATCCGCTGTGTAAAAAATATGCTGGATAAGTTGGCAGTTCATTCCGCTGTGGCGACCCCAGATTAATAAAGGGACTAAGCTAAATGAAAATGAATGAATAAATTGATTGATTGATTTTAACAATTTTAACAAAAATATACAAACAAGTCCAGTTTGACATTCATATCTTAAAAACTGTCGAGGATAAATTACACAATAAAGCCACAGGCTGATTTCCATCAAGGTCATCGATATTCTTAAAAAATGAACGAGCAAATCATAAAGTGCAAACATCATCAGCTCAGAAACTCAGCACAACAAAAATCCTCAACTTCAACCGTAAAACAGCCATTTTTTAATTTCCTCTCTAAAAACTCTCAAATTGAATCTCTTTAAAACTCCTCGGCAGTATATTCCAAGCAACAGTACACAGAAAAGACTTTCTACCTGTTTCACTATTAATTCTACAAGGACAAATACCCCTGCTACTCGCTCTTGTAGAATGACAGTGTACCTCACTAACTAAAACTTAATAAGTAAATATTTTGGGACCATTTTCTTTAAAATCTTAAACACCATCACCAATTTCAGAAAAGTGACCCTTTTTCCAACTTTTAATAAATTAATTTGACTATAATATTCATTATTTAAATGTGTGTGTGGAAGTACTTTGATAACAATTCTGCAACTTATTTTGGGCCGTCTGCAATTTATTTTTCATTTTTGTGGAACTACTGCTGTACCAAAAGACTGCAGCATAGTCAAAGTATGACTGCACTAATGCACTAGCCAATATTTGTAAAGTTTGAAAATCTAAGAGCTCTGTCTGTCTTGCTAAAAACTTAATTTTAGAACTTTTGAATGGACTATAACAGCCATCTTCTCACCTGTCAAATTACTGTCTGAAATGGAACCTAAATATTTCCCTTCATGTTTGGGTTCATTAATTTGATGCTCTACTTTTACCTCTGATCTGACACATTTTCTCAGTTTCGCAGCTGAACCAAATAAAATAAATTCTGGTTTACACAAGTGTAAGGACAATTTATTAAGGTTGAACCATTAAGAGACTTCCTCAGTTTGTTTATTTCATTTTCAATAAATTCCTTCCTCTCATGAGACACAATTATTGCTGCATCATCCGCATTTAACAAAAGCTTTTTTGAACAGGCCATTTTCAAATCATTGATGTATATTAAAAAAGCAAAGGACCTAAAACACTGCATTGTGAAACCCCATAAGAAACGGTTGAATAATCTGAAAACACACCATTTAAATCTACTATTTGACATCTGTTTTTAAGGTAAGACTTCATGCATTTACAGGCCAAAACACCAAAACCCATTGCCTTTACTTTTAAAATCAATATCCTGTGATCGACTGTATTGAAAGCTTTTTGCAGGTCTAAGAAAACCATCCCACTTAACTTCCTTTATCCATATCGCTCTTTATATAATTTGTTAAATAAAAGAAACTGTTGAATCAGTGGAATTATTTTCCTAAAACCCGATTGAAACTCTACAATACGTCACATTTTAAACAATATTTTTCAATGTGCTAATAAATAACTTTTTCCCTCCCTTTTGACAAAGCACTCAAAATTGATACCAGCCTAGAATTATTAACCTCAAACCTACTACCTTTCTTAAAAAGAGGAATAACTCTTGCTTTTTTCAACTTTACCTTGACAAATAGAAAAATTGATAATATGTTTAACCATCGGAGTGACGCATTTAGGGAGTCTTTGAGGGAACTGCACTGGAATATTATCTAACCCTGTTGCTTTACTATTTTTAAGTGTTATTAATTTCTTAAATATATCCCCCTCCTCTATGTTATTAAACAAAACTTTCTAGATTAAAACTGCATTTGGCATAATACTCTATAACTAATTCATCAATAAAAATGCCATTTTGTACTGGAAGCTTTTTCGCCGTCAATATCAGGTGGTATTAAAAAAATAATTAACAATGTCATAGTCAGATATAATTAAAACAAACATGATGAAGCCAGTAAATCTGGTTGTGACCTACCCGTGTGTTACTTTTGTTTCTGATGGGGTCAAAAATTATAATGTGCCATTTATGTTTAAAGTAAAATTATTCTCTATATATATATTTTAATTTGATATATTTTCAATTAAATTCAATATATTTCTGTCTAAGGCATATTTTTAAAATATAGACATGAAATTGAGATGATTTTTGTATTTTTGTTTACAAATAAACTTTTTGAAGTCTGCTAGTAAACTTTTAATTATTACTTACTATTAATAATGCATAGTCATCATACATCTCTAAATCTTTATTTCTTCAGTTTTACAGTTAGAAAGACAAATCAAAGTTTAAAAAAAAAAATTAATGTAAAAGTCTGCGTCTCTCTGTGTCGCTCAGGCTGAACTGAAGTGTCTATTCACAGGCACGATCCCACTACTGATCGGCACGGGAGCTTTGACCTGCTCCGTTTCCGACCTGGGCCGGTTCACTCCTCCTTAAACGACCTGGCGGTCCCGAGCTCACCCGGGAGCACCATATCGATACCGAACTTAGTGCGGACACCCGATCGACATAGTCCACTGCAGTCCAGAAGCCCTGAGCTCAAGCGATCCGCAGCCTCAGCCTCCCAGTAGCTTCCCAGTAAACATTGGTCGGACGACGATGTGCTCTCCCCGGCCAAAAGATGTCGCTCTGCGACGGCATCAACTGTGTACTGATGGTCTGAAAGCGACGTGCTTTCCACAGCCAAAATTCGTCGCGAACGCACGGCACAAATGCACAACATGTCGTAAAATGCATTAATATATGCTTGTATACATTTAAACATGTCTATTTATATTTGGGGTTGCGTGTATTTACGATTTAATGTACATGTAGTTTAATATATACCATGCTGATTAAGTCCAAAAATGACGTCCTTTACACGTGCATTTATAGTCCATCATATACCCTTGCTGAAATTATGAAATATTAAAAAGTATTGCACTTACATCTGGGTATACACTTAATATATGTGTGTCCCAAGTGGGTTCGTGGACAGATTTCAGGCATCTAAACTCATTAAAAACAGATTTATCTTTATGAAATACAGAAATCACTTTTATTTACATCTTGTCAACTGACCAATTACATTCATAAAGTGTCCTGTGCGGTGAAAGGATAGTAAAGTCACTGTTTCTAAAACCATAATGCAATTATTTATTTTTTGCACCTAACGCTAACAAATCTCGCGATATGACAAACATCGCTGTTTTCAAATCTCATTTTCTTCCGGTTTTGTTCAGCACCACGAGAACATGAGGACGCGGCGAAAAGATGGACAATTATCACAAATCTCCTACCGTGTAAGTACAGTTTGTATTCGTTTAATAACATTATTGAGTTTTACTCGAAGGAACTGAAATAAATGATGCACATTGTCAGTAGCGATGTGGCGTTGCTTTGATTAGGCTAAAATTAGCCTTTATGCTAAAAGTAAGTCAGGTTTGGGCAATATGTCATGTTATTACAGCAATCTGGTGCAGTTTACCAGGGGTTCCCTACACTGGTCCTCGAAGACAGCTGGTCAACATGTTTTCCAGCATCCACCTGCTGTGTGTTCAGTCAGAGCTGAAAATGACCATTTCAGGTGAGTTTGGAGTGGAATAGTGTAGAAATAAAACATTTTAATAATGATAATAATGCACGAATTTGTTAGAAAACCTAACAAAAAGCTATACAGTATCATGCTATTGTAGATATGTCTCCAGCATTTACTACAATACCAGTATTAATGATTTATTTTAGCCTACATTAATAGGCTGTCATTAACAATAAGAGCAAAACTCATGAGCATGTATATAAAAAAAGTTATTTACTTAATATTTTACACTAACATAAAATGGTAAATATATGCATGTAGGTGTTATTAGCTCATGTGGAGGTTTAACAGGTAAAGTCTAACCACTTTTCTTTTAACTGCTCCTGTAAAATAGTTTTTGTACTGTAAATTAATTAAACTGCATTAAGGTTCAAATTTGTCTTGCAGGGTCAATAACAATCAGTCATCTGTCAGAGAGAATTCAAGACTCTTTCTCCAGGCCGACTGTAAGAATCATATAAGGCTTTGCATTTATTTATTTTCTGTTCATTAAATAATTGAATTATTACCTTTCTCACTGTTGTTTTGTTTGTCTGTAGAATTGTCTCCAGTGCAAATGATCCTCTGTCATCACACTCCCTGAGGACACTCCAGAGTAGGTGAGAAACTTGTTGAATGCTTAAAAGTTTATTTAGGTGTATAATGTGTATGAGTTCACATTTGCAAACCTAGAGCTAGTTTTATACCTGTGGTGAGTATTGTGATCTTATTACTGCATATTCTGATAAACGCTTTAGTAAATAATTGCAACTAGAAAAGTTCACGTCATCATGAGCCTGATGTTAGCTGCTGCTCTGTTACAGTAATTGTCATTGTGAACTCCAGCAGGTCTACATGTTCTGTTAAGAGACTGGATTCTGAGAGTGAGATCCTGTGAAGTGTTTATCAAAGTTAAAGAGAAGAACTGGATCTGTGTAAGTTTTAAATGTGACAGAATGTGTGTCTCTGTCTGTCTGGATCGCTCTGACTGTGATTTTGGTGTCACATTTAGGTTCAGCAACTGTCCGGAGTTGGTGGATGTTCTGTCCGAGCCTGATTAAAAGAGTGATAAACGGGTACATATTTATCTTGCATTGTTTGTGTTTATTTCTGCACAATATTTCAGGAAAATATGTTTTACTACCCCAACAATTAACCCAGCATTTTATATAACTAAAACTATAGATTTCATCTGTCATTCATCATTGTACGTCTCCTTATAGACATGCCTGTTTTAATGTTCAGATGTTTTAAAATGTTTGTACAGACTCAGGCTGTCAAGCAGACTGAAAATATTAAATGATAATTTTAGTGTAAGCCATGAATGACAGTCTTTGCTTGTCACAAAACTGTGGATGTGTGGATATGGGCAGTTGTAAAATGACGAGTAGTAGGGAATATGTATGTATTGACATTAGATATTGCTCTGCACATTGCTGTTCATTCATGAAACATGACAGTAATTCTTGATATATTGTAAGTTTTTAGTTTTAGGATCATACAAAATCATATTCTCCTTCCTCAGATGCCGTAAAGTGAGTCCAGATGCTACAGACACAGAAAAAGGTGCAGCAATGGAGGAACACAGCAAGCACCTTCCAGGAAGAGCTGGAGAATATTAGAAATAAAGACTCTAAAAAAACATTTCACTTGTGTTGTCCATATTTCTGTGTTGTTGTTTTATTTATTCTTATTAGATGAGTCTGTTTAACAGTGATGTACATCTGTTACTATATGCACAATAAATAATTTGCTTAATCGTAACACTATTGCATCCTTAAATAATGTATTACTCATGGTTTACACGTGATTACAATGCTATAAAGACGTTTAGGTATAACTGGACTGAAATTGGACCTGATTGCATTTCACAGCTTTAAATAATAAGTTTGATTATTTTATATGTATAATTAGGCTATTAAAACACTTATTATAAAGAAATAACATGTTTTAAAAGCAACCAGAAAACGTCCAGAACATGACATATTTTGACGTGCAGGGACCGTGTAGAAAAGACGTGCGATTCACGGCCAGAAGACGTAAAAGACGTCGGTTGGATTTTCATTTTGGCACTACTTTTCAACCAGGACGACACGTGACGGAGCGACGTCTTTTCAGCGGTAATCGGACGTCCAAATGTTTGCTGGGTTGGATTACAGGCACGCGCCACTGAACCCGGCGAGAGCTGAGAGAATCAGAGCTGTGGAGAATCTGATCATCACAGCGACCTCTAGTGGAGGAAAACTCACTTTTATAGAAGTGAACTAATGCTTTAATAGACCGGACGCTTTCAAGATGGCTTCTTGATCGCACGCGTTTCGTTGAGCTCCGCAATCCTAACTACTTAAACTGACCTGTTTAACGTTTCGCAAAGTGTATATTAAAAGTTAACTTGAACTGATATTATAGCGATCCGTTACAGACGACAATGGGAGGGTCAGAGAAAAGAAAAAGTGCAGGAAAAAAGGCTGGAAAGACCGAAAAGACAGAACATGCTAACTTGGCTAATCAAAATAGCAGTTCGCCGAGGGCCGAAACGTTGGATAAAATCCCTTCTAACGCATTGATTACAGACAATTTACATGACTACCTTCAGCAGAATATTAACTCTGAGGAACTTATGCTGGTAGCGGAGGTCGAACTTCCATCTCTTCCAGAAACTCCTTGTGAATCACCAGCCCCTAAACAACGCAGATGTGTGGGAAAAGATACAACGATCATCCTTTCCCAGATTTCGGACCTTTCACGTCTTGTGCAAAATAGGTCAGACACACTTGAGAAGCTGGTGGAAAAAAATTCTCAGATAGTAAATGAAATAAAATCCGAAGTCGGCGTCAATACAAAGCAGATCGCGGAATTAAAGGAAACGATCGAGTTCATCTGTACGGACGTAAATGCCATGAAAGTTGGCTTAAAAAAAGCTGAAAGGTGTATCGAAGAGCAAGAAAGACGTCTAACGTTGCTAGAAGGCTATTCCCGAAGGTGGAATCTGAGGATTCAAGGGATTCAAGAAAGAAGCGGAGAAGATGTTCGTCTCGAGGTCATTAAAGTTTGTCAGCGTCTCCTGCCGCAATTTAAAGAGAAGCTGTCTGATGTCGTAGACGTCGCACACCGTCTTGGCCGTAACAAACCTGGAAGCAGCACTCCTCGAGGTATTATATTTCAATTTACTTCACGCTTTTTTAGGGATGCTGTCTGGCGCGCCGCCAAAGATGCAGACTTTCTAAATGATAATAAGCTAAGGGTCTCCGAGAACCTGTCTCCTGCTGACAGAGAACGAAGACTGAAATTATGGCCCGCTGTCGAAAAAGCTCGTAAGGGAAACAAAAAGGCTCTCTTTGTCGGTGGCCGTGCCTTTGTGGATGGCGTTGAGATCTCGCCCTCATCCTAAATTACAAAGGAAAAAGTGGCAACTGCAACTGAAAAAGAAGCATGCTAATACCCCCTTTCAGTACAAAAGTACTCTCATTTTAATCTTTGTAAAAACTGGAACATAAGACCTGTTTAAATGTTTTATAATTTACATAAGGAACAGTAACGCCTTTCCCGTCTCTCTCTGGATTTAAATTTAAGATACTTTTCTTCCATATTTTTGGTCTATAGACTGAAAAGAAACAGGTACTCAAATTCAGTTTTGTTGATTTGAACTTTCAGAGAAGATGCGATATTTGCTTATTTTTCTTTTAACTTTAAAGGGAGACATTTTCTTTTCATTACTTGAAACGATAACATGAAAGGAATTCAGACTCCAGTCATATTGATTAATGTAATACTTTTATAAAAGAAACAAAACATTTTTTTTTCTCTCTTTAGATAAAAAAAGAAAATACATTATTTTTGCTTATGTTGGCTAAAGAAGTGGTAGAGACTAAGACTCCTGTTAATTTTTTCTCTTTTACAAATTTTCAGTATAACCAATATACGTGTTAAAAAGGGATTGCTGTTCTCATCCTGGGATATTATTGCTGCATTTGTGTCACGTTCCGGTAAAGGGAAAAAGGAGCGAGGACCCAAGCGCAGAGTGAAGTAGGATTTATTATTAATAAAATAAAATAAAAGGCAAAAATAAACAACCCAGAGGGGGAAAAACACTACTACAACAAACAATAAATCAAACAAACAAACTTGACTGGGCAGGCAGGACAAGGCAGGACTGGACACAGCAGGACAGGTAAACATCGACAACATATGATGACGAACTCGCACAGGACAGCAGACATAAGGGGTTTATAAACTGTAGGAAATTAACAAAAAAACAGATGAACATAATTAACTAATAATGGGTTAACAAGGAGGGTGGGACTAGACAATAGACGGGAGCGCATGACACAGAGAGACAACACAAGCCATGCGCTCCGATGACACAGGACAAGAACATGCGGCCAGTGAGAGAACTCATCAACCGCATGTTCATGACAAGACGAGCACAACACTGAAGCACACGACAAAAGCACGTGACCACAATGTAAACATCGAGCCACGTGCTTTGACAAAAGACGCAAGACACAAGCACACGATAGATAAACACCTTACCGTGCGCTTACACATAAGCAACGCGCATGCTTCATCTCAGCGCCAACCAAAACTGAAACCAACTAGACGGAGGCGCCGAGAATAAAGCAGCGCGATGCTGACAGAACAAACACAAACACTAGTACAAGAGCGCGCGCGTCTGAGGGACGCAGAGCGTGCGCGGCCACATCAAGCGCCAGCGCACACACTCTGCGTACACCCACGACGGCGCGCGCGCACACAGAGACAGAAACAGGACCAGACATGAGTAGTGTCAAAGCTCTGCCACCAAAACAAGAATTTACGAGACCAAAGTGGCAGAACCCTGACAGTTTGCTTAAGATTTGCTATATATTTATATAGGAATCTTCTGGGTCTGTTTTATTTTTTTATTTATTTCATATTCACTCTTGTTCTATGTCTTTATCTATTGTTTCTCTTAACTGTAGAGGTTTACGCAATATCACTAAGAGGAAAGCTATTTTCTTATTGAAGCGCTTTAATGCAGATTTTTGTTTTCTACAAGAATGCCACTCTGTTACTGAAGACGCACAATTTTGGAGGTCACAGTGGGGACTAGATCTGTGGTTTTCCCATGGCACTACTAAATCTGCTGGGGTTTGTATTTTAAAGGACAGATTTAAAGGAAAAGTCTTAAGATCTAACTGTGATGCTTCTGGGCACTACATTGTACTTGCCGCTGAGATTTTAAATGAAACTTATATTATAGTTAATGTATAAGGTTTTAACTTACAAAACGAAAATAAAGCTCTCTTCAATAGATTAGGCAAGCAGGTGATTCAAATGTTAACCATTTTTCCTAACTCTGCTCTAATCTTTGGTGGTGATTTCAATGTTGTCCTAGATAATAGTTTAGATAGATGGCCTCATCAAACTGGAACTCCTAATTCAGATTATATTATGGCTTTTATAGAACAATTTTCCTTGTTTGATCCATGGAGAAAATCTCATCCAACACAAGAATGTTTTACTTGGAGTAACAAATCTTTATCTTCTCAATCTAGGATTGATTATTGGCTTACTTCCAATGACTTGGATAACATTGTTACTGATATAATACCATCTCCGTTCTCAGATCATGCAGCTATTTCGATTATGATTCCCTTTAGAAACTTTAGTAATTTAACTCAAAAATCTGGTTACTGGAAATTAAATAATTCAGTTCTTAAACATAAGGAAGTTATTACTGGAATAGAAAAAATTATTTTGACTTACTGGAATAAAGCGAAAGTTGAAAAAAATATTGTAATAATTGGGAACTTCTCAAATTTGAAGCGGGAAATTTTTTTAGGAAATACTGTAGTGAATTGGCAAAAAAGAGAAGAGCTGAAGAAGATAGTATTATTTTAAAAATATCCACTTTATCA